TCGTTGGACATTCTCCTGGTGCGTGATTCTTTTCACGCGCCGCGCAGAGCGGAGCAGGAGCAGGAGCACACGGCGGCGCATGGCGCACTCCTCCGGTGGTGACCTTGACCCGACACAACCTGCAGCGCACCGCGCGCCGCAGCCGGCCAAGGGCAGCCAAGGGCCTGCCGAGCCTCCGCACCACAACCTGCACCGCAGCACAACCAGCGCGCACAGCGTTTCAATTTGGGGTTGACTGAAGCGAGCGCGGGTGGCCGTTTGCGAACGAGAGTGAAAGCTTTGAGAGATTGACCCTACTCGCTTTCACTGAACTCACGCGGCCGCCAGGTGTTAATAGGTATAGAGATCAGCATCATCTAGAAAATTTGCCCGGCTTTCGCTGTCAAGTTCAGCCTGTGCCAACTCTCATCGCGCCTGGTGGGTAGGCAACATCTCGCCTGGAGCGCACGCCTGTAGTGCGGGGTGGCCTACCCTGAGCCTCGCAGGCGCTGAGCTCCCGTAATTTGCTAAATATAGATATGGGAACAAGCAGGCCCACCCTTTCACCAAACGAGGTTGGCAGCTCCACTTCGCTTCGCTGGCAACTCTGTTCGGCAGGGGGCCGGGCTTGCCCGGCCTGCCGTCCGCGACGGACACAAGCCAGACCGTTTGCATATGACCCTGCTAGATAGCTTTTTGAAAGCAGAAAAGGGCAGGATGAACACGGGCGTACTTTCTAGACGATCACTTAGAGGTGACAATCACGCCTGAATGGCACAGTATAACTACGACATTTGGAGGGCGACAGTCAGCGTAAAATGTAAATCAAAGCCAATTGTTCAATTAAATTATGTTAGTGAATGTGGTGACGGCGGCGGTGTTGGAATTTCTTTGCTGGGGCAGGGGGCATCAGTAGAGGGGCGCGGGGGCCGGGCCCGCACCGGCTCACCCTGAGGGCGGTCTTGTTGCTCTGCAGGCTGACGCCCGCTGGGCGCGCCAGCGGCCCACTGCACCGAGCGGCCCTGGGCGTTTGCATCCAGAGCGCAAAGTGCGTCGGCCGGAAGGCCAGGAGGGGCGGGACGGAGATGGGCGGCCGACTACAGCAATTTCATATGAATGAGAGGAAAAAAGTTGCAGGTGGCCTCATGGGGGCTGACATCGGCGACCTTGCGTGGCCTCGCCGGCGGGACCTGGAGGAGGGGGTGAGGGGGGGGGGAGACGCACCACCACACCCGTCTCGCCCGACCCTCCTCACCACGACCGGCAGATACATCTTCGTGATCGTGTTGCAAAGAATAATACTCCTTGTACCAGGGGCCCGATCCAGAACCGCATGCGCACGCAGGCGAGGCGTGCGGGCTGGTTTGCCTATCGTCCCTGACCACGGTGCAATACGGCTCGAGAGAATAGGCAACCAGTCGGCACGGCAAATTTGTATGCGCGCTGAAGCCTCTGAAGCTGAAGCCGACTTCGGGAAAGGGTGGTGCGAATCATGCTTGGCGCACTTGAAGTGTGTGTACGGTGACGGTGCAGGTACTGCCGGTCATGTTTGGTCTGGTCTTGGTCCTCCTGGGGGTAGACACCACTATGGAGCCGACAACTCGCCCGCGCCGTGCTCCTCGACAGGTCCAGGCCCGGGCTAGGCCTCTATGAGACACTCTCGCTTTCAAGGAGTACATTACACTGCGCTGAATTTTGAATCGTCATTCTTCGAGGTGGGTCAAGAGCACGCAGGGTTTCTATCCACGTGCGCGGGCCGGTGAAGTGTGGCGGGGCGTGGCGGGGCGTGGTGGGGCGTGGCAGGGCGTAGCGGTCCACCGGGCGTCAAGATGTATCGGTTGAGCCGTGCCCCCTCTCCTCTCCTGCGGCGCGACTCCCCTCAAGGTCGCATCGCGTGGGCCCTGCCGTGCTGTGGGACCCGGAGAGGGACCTTAGCCGGGTCGGGACGGGCTGCTCTGCGGCCTTGCTGCTGGTGCAGGGCGGGGCCCCGGGCGTCCGGTCCAGCACCGTGGGTCCAGGCCACCCCGCCGCACTGCGAGCCTGGCGCGCAGGGTTCAATACTACACTTGACAACAAAAATCACAGACATGGATGGATAAAAAGCGGCCAGTTTCAGGAAGCTTTGAAACCGGGAGCGTCCCTTATTGAGAGACCTGCTGCAGAACTGGCTCCGCCCGGCCGCCGGCCGCCTCTCGCCTGGCGGGGCGGGGCGGGGCGGGGCGGGGCGACCAACTGATATGATGGCTAGACGCGCGCCTGCCGGCAGGCGGTCATTAACCTCGTTACGCAAGCGGCCGGTAAGAAAAACACTTTCGCGCCCATTCACTATACAGCTGGACGCCGGCACGCTCGCTTGAGAAGTGATCGAACGGCCCGCGAGCGAACCGTAGGCAACGCGAGTGAGCGAGTGTGTTCATCGCGCGACTGCGACGGTCTGTCACCGCACGGTCCCACCCTAATGAGGCACTGTTGGCACGACAATCGCTGGCATTACCTGCCAATAAAGACGTCTTGTGCGTGCTGCTGTCCGTCCCGTTCCGTTCCATGCGGCCCCGCCCCGCCCCACCCCACCCCACCCTGCCCCGCCACGCTACGCCCCCCTCCAGTGCAAGCAGGTCTCGATTGAGTCACTGGCGCGCTCCTTCGCTCGGCCCGCGTTCAGTTCACCGGCACCGCGCGCGTACGTCGCCTTGGCCAGCGCCGCAACGCCTGACCGTACGGCCCGCGAGTGGCAGCGCAGTAGTGGTGTGGGACGCATCGCAGTGCAGTGAAGTGAAGTGCAGTGCAGTGAAGTGGTGTGCATCGGGGTCAGCTTCAACTTCAACAAGGGCCGAAGAAAACGCCGCATCGTCGTCGTGCAGTGGGGAGGTCCGCTGCTCGACGAGGCCCGCCGAGGCCTCTCAGGACAGCCCAGCAGAGGTCTGCGGCCGCGCGGCCATGCGGAGGCCGTGAGCACGCCGACCTAGGCCGCGGAGCAGGATGCGCGTCCTGGCGCTGGCGCTGGTGCTGCTGGCCGCGGCCGGGCCGCAGCATGGCGTGGCCGCGGGGGCCTCTGCCTCGGCCCCCGCCTCGGCCCCCGCCTCGGTCACCGCCTCGGCCGCCCTGTCCCGGCTGCGGCTGGACGCCACCCGGATGCTGGACGTGCTGGACCAGCTGCAGGGGGCCCAGTGCCGCAACCATACCAGACAGCTGCTGGACGCCGCGGCCAACCTGACGGCGTGGGCGAGCCTCAGTAAGTCGCGGGCCTGTGGTGTGGACGGCTGTGTGGCCGGCTAGCTAGACCGGCTGGACGCACAGGACCGCGCCGGGCCACTCTGGTGTTGTAGTGTTCCAACGACATGCCTTCCAGAAAAAGTCGGGGTGAAGCTCTGACGCTTGCCGAGAGACTGAATGTACACCTGTATGATGAGGCACCTGATAGGTGATTCTCCGATTCTCAGTGAATGAGGGACTGATTGATTTGGCAGGAACTTTCCGAGCTTGTTAGGTAGTGTATCACTAATTTTACTAGTTTTCCCCGCCAAAATCATGGTGGATTTAAATGCACAGGAGGTCTCGTCTGAAAAATGTTTGTCAGTTTTGCCGTACATTGTCGGGGGCTACCGCACCTCGTGCCGTCAGAGGTACCGGTAATTATCGCGGGGAGGTCCGCTGACATCTCCCGCAGTGACTCGCGCCTCTCTTTGCGGTCTGCGCGCCGCACTTCGGAGGTCGGCCCGGCGCGGCCTAACGCATCACGCGGCGACGTACAGCCGGGGACGGTCCCCCCGGGGATGCCGCGGCGCCGCGTGCACCTTGAACTTTGAAGTGTGACGCCGGATGCGTTTTCGGCCGGGCCGAGGGGGGCCGAGTCAAGCGGAGACCTTAACGCCGGGGCCCGCCGAGAGGCCCGCCCCCCGCCGCCCCCGCGAACCCCGCGGCACCAGTAAAGGAACACGGAAAGTTCACTCTATAGCGTAGCGTGAGCGACACATTTCAAAGTTTAGGTCAGCTGGGCACGTCACGTGTTTTCGTGGCGTCATTTTGATCTTGGATAATCTAATTTGACGTCATTTCGAGTGGCCTAATCCTCATGCTGTCGTTTTCCTTTCACCAGTGATGGACGCGACGGCCAAGACGGGCAGCGACCTGCTGCGCGGCAACGAGTACGTTCTCGGCGGCTTCGACGAGTGCCTGTCGGTGCCGGTGTCGCCCGTGCCGCCCCAGTACTGCCTGGCCGAGGTCCGCGTCAGCAGCGTCAGCGTGGACGCCGGTGGCCGCCCTACAACGCCGGCGCTGCCGACGAGGACCGGCGTCAGCACGCCGCCGACAACACCGCCGGCGAGCGCGCCTGCAACGACGACGACGCCGCAGCCGCCGGGGCAGCAGCGGCAGCAGCAGCAGCAGACGACGACCTCCGACACGACCAAGGCCAACACCTTCCAGCCCCTCTGGCCGAACAGGAACCAAGTAAGCAGAGCAGAGCAGGCTTGGGGCAGGCCTCGCCCGCCTTGCCCACCTCGCCCGCCACGCCGGGTCCGCATTGCGACCCACGTTTTACGTCCCGGTGTTTTTGTGGGCCCTAATTTAAAAATAAACGTAAGACCCGTGTCCGCGTTGAAACACTTCCTTGAATAAAACTAAAGTGGGTTTGGTTATCAATCGCCTCACCAGAGTAAGAGTCGGTCAGAGCGCTGCTGCGGCTTCACATCGATGATTCCCTTTCAAAGACCAGTTGCTCATTTTCCCGCCACGTTCATGTGAGTGATGAGCGCCGTGACTTCACATCGGTGGGGCAAGACGCGGGCGGCGCTGCTGCCTGCCCGGCCCGGCCCGGCCGGTGCGCCGATGAGCCCACCGCGCGGAGCAGCGCCGCTTCCCTTCGGCTGTCGCGCGGTGCATGGCGAAAGGCCCCCGCGCGCGCGTGTGCGTGTGTTGCGTGTGCGTGATTGAGGCGTACATACTAGTCCGCGCACCAGCGCACCCACCGGGAGGGGGGCAGTAGATCGCGGGGGTCGCGTTATGGCTCCTGGGGGTGCAACCGAGGCGCAAACCAAACCCCCCGTGGTGGGCAGCACACGCACCACGCACCCCAGAGCCGCACTCAGGAAGCCCCCAAACACCTTTCGCACCTCCGCTCGGGCCGGCCGCGCGGTCCCCTCGCCCGCCGCTGGCACCGCGTCGCGCCCTGGCGCCTCGCCAGGTGGGCCGGCGTGCGGAGCGGCGGCCTGCAAGCGCCCGAATTAGTTCCCCGTGAGTTATTACCCGCGCTGTAATAAGTTTTATTCGCGCCGCTCCGCCCGAGAAAGGCTCTTTATCAATGACGATTATGGAACAGAGCACACATTTGTTTGGGAGCTCGCGTTCCACTATTAAGCTACGGTAGCACCTCGATACGTTACCAAAATCCCTCCAAAAAATCTTGTAAAATTCTCCTAAATCGTGTGCAGTTTGTAACTCCTGTCATATTTTGAAACTTAAATTTTGTTCAAATTTCTTGTGAAATTATGAAATCCATAATAAATCCCGAGTCCAAGGTGACAGCCTCTCTCGTCTAATAAGATCGTGAAGTGCTCGTTCCTGCCGAGTGCAGTGTACTGCGTGTAGGTAGCGTAGCGTGCCGCTCGCCCGAGGGGCAGTGCCCCTGCTGCGCTGTGATGACACCCCGCGCTGCGCTCCGCTGCCCGCAGGTGGGCGGCCGCTACTGGACGCTCGCGGCCCCGGAGCAGCGGGTGCGCTGGGGGGCGTGCCTGCCCGCGGCCTGCGGCCCGCACGACCTCGCCGTGCTGCTGCGCGCCGCCCTGCGCCTGGACCCCGCCGCGGGGCTGGACCCCGGCGCGCCCGAGGCCCTGGCCGGCCTGCGCCTCGACGTGACCGTGCCCCCGCGCACCTGCCAGGACAGCGCCGCCAAGCCCTTCCAGGGCGCCGAGCTCGTCGTCATGTAAGTGAGAGCACGTCTTTACCCCGCGTCCCGCGTCGTCGCGGGGTAGTGCCGCAGCCCGAGGGGTATGTCCATGGTATGTCGCTCACCCCCATGCGTGCCTTCCTCTGTGTGCAGCGGGGTCTTCATCGGCTTCCTCTCACTCCTCGTCATCGCCACGGTGTACGACGTGTTCCTGGCGTCCGAGTCGGACTTGGAGACCAAAGGTGCGTCTTCGATGTTGTTCTGTGCAGCTCGGTGGTGCCTTCCGCTTCTGACCCGGGCGATGGACGCAGCCATACTGCCGCAGGTGCTCGTGTCGTTCTCGGTGCGCAGCAACCTGGAGAAGCTGGTGCGCTGGTCGCCGAGTGAGCTGGGCCTGGACTGCGTGCTCGGCATCAAGTTCTACTGCATGCTGCTCATCACGGCGGGCCACGGCGTCGTGTTCCTCGCCACCGGGCCCATCACCAACGCGGACTTTGTCCAGCAGGTCGGTGAGCGGTGTCACCGCCGGTGTGGCGTAGAGTAGCTGCTCTCTCGCGGCGCTACTCCTCGGCAAGTCCTCGCGCGTGGGGCATCGCCGTGACGGCGACATACTTAGTATACTAGACATCTGTGAATGGTGTTGAGTCCCTCCCGTCCGCATGAGTCGGCCCTGCTCTTAAGCAACTTTCTTCTTAATTTGCACGGAAACAAAGAATGTTTTCAAATATTATGTTCCTTATTTATCCTCTTTTCACGATAAGTCACTTTGCTTAAAATAATAAGAACGTTATTGTTCTCGAAAGTAAAAATTCTTATACTAATAAAGAACACTTTAACTTTTATGTTTGTGGTGTGCCTTGCAGGCGGTGCGCGAGCCTCAGCACAGCTACCTCCTCAACGGCATGCTGCTGGTGGACTCTTTCCTCGTCGTCAGCGGCTTCCTCCTCACCCGCCTCCTGCTCCTCGAGCTGGACAAGCGGGGCAGCGTCAACTTTGGCCTGCTCTATATCTTCAGATACATAAGGCGAGTGCTTTGCTGCCCGTGTCGCCTGGCTCCTGGCTGACGGCTCCGACCTCTTACCGCCCTGCTCTGACTCTGCAGACTGACGCCGTCCTACCTGGCGGTGGTGGCGCTGTACGCCACGCTGCTGCCCAGGCTCGGGTCGGGGCCGCTGTGGCCGTCCAGGATCCTCCTGGAGCAGGACCGCTGCCGGGCGTCCTGGTGGACCAACCTGCTTTACGTCAATAACTACGTCAACACGGATCAGCTGGTGAGTGACCGCGCCTGTGGCTGTGCGTGTACTCCTCGCCCGAGAGCCACTGAGCGCCCGGAGCAGCGAGTAGCGCCACCGCGGCCCTGGAAGCGCCTGCCGACCAGCGGGTAGGCAGGCATGTTATACACGCGTACATTGCGGGCTGGCCTACCTAGACAGGCGGGCGCTTAGTCGTATTATTAAAAAGTCCGCAAGGCTTCTAAATAAAACAGCCTCCAAGACCACTAATTTCAACGGACAGCAGTATTCAAAGCTACAGGAAGTGAATGACTAAAATAGTAAATAAATAGTCACCAAGCTTTCACTGTGAAATACATCTTTGTAAATTTTCAACCAAATTTTTTATTTACGATAATCACAATATGTTGCAAATTTACGGCAGCCCATTGTCTATGAATTTCAAGTTGATACCTAGTGCTTGTAATATTGCAATTTGGAGTTGTAATTTTACAACCCATCATGGAAAATTTCCCTGTGATCCTTCGAAGAATTTACCACAGTGTTCTAGTGATTATCCGAACTTGATGGAGTGTACAGTGTACACGTTAATGCATACCATCAACTCGTTCGTTTCGCAGTTAACAAGAATTGCTAACATTTTTAACTTTGTTTTCCAATTTCAATTTCTTTTAAATGTTTGCCCTGTGCCGGCCGCAGTGCATGTTTCAGTCCTGGTACATCAGCGCGGACACGCAGCTCTTCATGCTCGCGCCGCTGGTGGTGTACCCGCTGTGGCGCTGGCCCACCCTGGGCCGCCTGCTCGCCGTGCTGGCCACTTTCCTCTCCATCCTCATCCCCTTCGCCATCACCTGGTCGCGGCACCTCGACCCCGTGCTGCTCATCTTCCCCAGGTAGGCTGGCCGGGCCGTTTGCTTTCCTTGGGCGAATGTTTGACAACCTGCACTTACAGGCAGCGGGGCGCCGATGCACGGGCGTTGAGCAAGCAACAGTGCGACAACGCGTGTATGGCGTTCGCCTCACGCGTTGTCTCTACCGGGCTTATACAAATAATGTCCACAAGGTGTGATAAACTGCTCAAGCTCAAACTTGCAGGGAGATTTGGCAAGGAGACCTGTCCGGTAACGCCATGTACCAGACAGCCATCGTGCGGACGCACATGAGGGCGAGCAGCTACAGCTGCGGGCTGCTGCTCGGCTGGTTCGTGCACCGCTTTCAGAGCACTGAGAGAGAGGTGTCCCAGGTGAGTTCAGCAATTTATTTAGTTTTGTTTTATTCATTTTGCTGTTGTTTTTCTTTTTGTCTGCTGAATTTTTAAAGGATCAGTCAAACTAAAACATGACACGTCAATATATTTCGATTTTTCCCAGAGCCCGCTCTGACCTCTTTCTACCCGTATCTGTTTAGTCATGAATGTCACGAACGAATAATTACCGCATAAGGTCCCGACGGTTACAAACAGCCAAAAGATTTCTGGGCGGGTTTTAGCTGTCCTGCCACGGAGGGAATGCCTTTGCCCCGTGGTGGCCAAGGCCGGACAAGGACAAAGGACGATTCGGTTCAGGGAAGGGAGCCAGCCAGTTTACTTGGCCCGGCCGCACCGTGCTCTGCGCACCGCCTAACGCAAAGGCACACATCCGTTCTGGAGGTGGGCCGGCCCAGGTCTTCACCGGAGCCTCCCCGGCGTTGTTTGGTTCCTCCGCATTTCTATCCATTTGTGTGCCTTAAAAATATTCCTAAGTCATCACCTTCGTTTTTTTTTGTCGTTTTATTTACTTTTTTCTACGTACAAAAATGTTACTTAGATACACATCCTCAGCCTCCTATGTACACTTATATCACGCAGTCTGTCATATGTTTCTCCGCACTGCCGTTGGCACGACTGGACTAGAAGCGGCAGGTGGAACTGACGGGCGGGTGGGTGGGGTATCAGCAGTCCGTTTTCATTAAGGAGCCACAACTGCAGCTGACGAAGTCACGCGTCAACCACTGGGGTGACACAATATTGAATCTCTGCGGGCACTCGTGGAGATGCCATGGGTGCCTGCCTAGGTCCTGAATGGCACGCGGATGCGCTGGGACCTGGCGGCGGGGTAGGGCGCGCCGGGCAGCGAGGCGGGCGGGCCCACGGGGGCGGGCAGGGGGACGATGGAGGGGTTCTCCACCACGATGGCGTCGTCCACGGCGATGCGCGTGGGCTGCGGGGCGGCCGGGGCGGGCCCGGACGGCTGCACCACGAAGGCCAGCACGCCGGGGGCGGCGGGGGCGGCGGGCGCGGAGGCGGTCACCTCGTTGGTGTACCAGTAGTTATCGGACGGGCGCTGCGGGGGCGGTGGGATGAAGGTCGGCCCGGGGACGGCGGCTGGAGCAGCGGGGGCAGGGAGGCGGTAGGTCCACGACGGCTGGGGCTGGGGTGCGGGCTGGACCACGGTGTGGACCACGGGCTGGGGCTGCACCTGCAGGCCCTGCTGACGGCACTGCTCCTCCAGCTGCGCCTGTTTCTGCTGCAGCAGTGCCCGCTGCCGCTCCAGGTTGGCCTGCTCCTGCGAGAGGCGCGCCTGCTGCGCCGACAGCTGCTGTTGCTGCAGCTGCGCCGCGAGGAGGAGCTGCTGCTGTTGCTGCTGCAGGCGCGCCTGCTGTTGCTGGTGCTGCTGCCTGAACAGATCCTGCTGCCTCTGCAGCTCGAGCTGGCGCTGAAGGTCCTGCTGCTTCTGGGCCTCCTCTTGGCGCAGAAGAGCGCGCTGGAAGTCCTGTTGCCTTTGCTGCTCCAGCTGCCGCTGCTGTTCCTGTTGGATCTGAAGCTCCGCCTGGCGTTGTCTCTGCAGCTCTAGCTGACGCTGGATCTCCTGTTGCTGTAGCTGCTGCTGCTGCTGTTGCTGCTGCTGCTGCTGCTGCTGCTGCTGCTGCTGTATGTCCTGCTGCCTCAGGAGTTCCTGCTGCCTCTGCACGTCCTGCTGACGCCACAGCTGCGCCGGCGGCGAGGGTTGCGAGGGCAGAAGCGCGGGAAGGTTGACCGCGACGGGGCGGCTGGGCTGGGCGGGGGCGGTGGGGCCGGCGAGCACGAGGCTGTTGTCGGCGATGGCGCTGGGGGCGGGCCGCCCGCGGACGTCGATGGACGGCACGTCGGCCTCCGGGGGCAGGTAGGGCGCCGCGGGGGCAGAGAAGGCAGGCGCCGACGACGGTGCGGTGGGGTTCGGCCTGCTGTGGGGCAGAGATGTAATGTGCGCATGAGTGGTGTGGGGGGCTCAACGGGAACTGGCACTCCCTGCGACATGCATAACAAAGGGACCACTTGCCATGCCGCAGCGCAAGTGACACGATACCGAACGAGAGGGGGGGGGGGGCACAGAAAGAGAGAGAGAGTGAAAAAAGGAGCAGTTATCGTATGCGAAATTTCGAAGTAGGTCGTCTCTCTACGCTTCGGCCTCCCGCAACGTGCACAGTGACGGACAGGTCAATATATTTGTGTTTTTTTTTCTAGTTTCACGCCTTTGCTTTGAGGGGCAAAAAAAAAGGAAAACGCGTGAGAGTTTTGCGGTTAGCAGTCAGCTGACGAATCTATGGCGGCACAGCACAGGAAACAAAATATGCCGCAAGGCCGGTATATACTCACTCGTCCTGGAAAGTGGTGGTGTCCTGCAGCGTGGTGGTGGGGATGTCAAAGGTGCTGGTGTCGATGCCGGTGGTGGTGATGACCTCAGCGGTGGGGGTCGGGGGCGGCGGGGGTGGCGGCAGTGCGGATATCCTTATGGGGACTGCGGAGGGAGCCTGTGGCTGCGGCAGCTGCTGCAGCTGCGGCTGGGGCTGGGGCTGAACTACTTTAGATGATGAGGGGCTGAAAGAAATAAAGAGGCCGGAGGAGACGGAATGAGTCACAGTCACCGACTTCATCCTGGTTCTAGCCTCGCTCGGTACACTTTGTTCCTTACCTTGATAGGAAGACTTGTTGTGGCACAGGGTAATCGTACCTGCCGAAAACGTAGAAAAAAACGCGATACTCGAAAATCATGTCCTCAAATCAGATCAATTTCAAATCCGCCACTTACCCATTTTCGGCCTCTGCTCGGACTAGACTTATGCTGCAGAACAAAAGCACGCAAAATAGGGGCGCCTGTCGAAAAACCAATTAATTGTTACCACTCATTGTTACCAACATTTGGACACTGTCAACGGCTTATGTTTATGAAGGTAGCGGCCTCACCATCACAGCTGTGATCGCCATGCTTGGGTGTGTGCTGTGTCGCTGCTCCGGGCAGACTGAGGACTGCCGGGCTCGCGCAGCTTCATATAGGCACAGCCCCTGGCCAGCGAAAGCACCGGCAGCCCGCCCATCTCCTCCTCCCCCCTCCCCCCAGT